AACTGTTACAAAACATAGATAATAATAATATGAATAGATAATGAAAAACACAAAAAATCTATAGAGTAAGAAAACGATTACATCTGTTTGAAGCTCGTGCAATATTAATCAGAAGCTGCAGTTAGAAAAAGATATAAAAAAAAAAATATTAGAGTCAAAATATTGTTCAACTCGCGATGCACTCGACGACACACAAGCACAGCTTCCGACTCTTCGGTTCAGTCATTCCCGGAGCTCAACACGCTCGACGATGCACTAACCGCAATACACTAAGAGACTCCTTCGGTGCACTCAACGACCCACTCGGCACTCGTTGCCTGGCTGTCAACTCGGCCGACTCCGCACGGCTCGCTAGATGAGGCACATTCTCCGAAACACACTAACTGACTGCGGACCAACGAGGTTTATATAGCTTTCGGTTTGTATTCGAGAACATTCTGGGCTAAACCGGTAAGAATTCGTTCCAGAAGGTTCTCCATCCGTCCATGGTATATCGCCAATTTCGTCGCCAAATGTGCAATTTCATGCCAAATGTGGCAACCCTGCCTTCCCTTGCCATTTTATGGCAACCCCAAAACTGCTTTGCGGGGAAGCCATCTTACCTCACCTGTATATTTACATTTCGTAACAATATTATCAACATATTCTAAAAATAAATCTTTGTAATTTCTTTCACTGTCTGAAATATTAGAAATAGTTTGCAATTCCTCTCTCACTTCTAAATAAAAATATGTTTTCTGAAGTAATTTCTGACATTGTTTTGGGAGAGTGCTTTGCATGCATTGACTTTAATATGCATAGTCTCTGGTTAAGATATTAACTTAGTCATTTTCTTCAGAGTGCTTACATTTTCACTAGATTCAATTTTGTTTATCTTTTTTTTTTTTTTTTTTTTTTTGAATGACACATTTTAGGTAGGTACACTTGAAAGCTTTTATAATATCTTGGTTTAATGGCTGAATGACAGAAGTCATATTTACAGAAAGAAACAATTTAATGTTTTTCAGAACAATATCAGAAGGGTGTCCAGTACAATTGTTGCATCCATATTACACATAAGTAACACAGTAACTTGGTCTTTTAATTTTTTTTTAAACCAGCTGTTGTTTCATATTTAAATATTAATGTGTGATCAAAGCTTAGTTTTCAAAATTAGAAGGACTAAAGCTGTATGCAAGACCAATCAAGAAAGAGGAACAAGAGTAAATAAATAAATAAAATGGTTATGAGAATCATTAATAATTTTAAAATTAAATAGTTAATTATTACCAGATTAATTCATAATTATTAATATTAATAATTAATATTTGTATTGTTATTTAATTAATAAATTATTATTCATTGAAATAATGAAAGATTAAATTAATTAAATGATTAAAACTAAATTAAATGTACAGAGATAAAAATTAATAAGCAATTTTTAATATACTTTTGTTGCTAAAAATAAAAATTTTCGAAATAGAATTCTTTTTTCCTGAAATTGTTGTTCCAGTTACATAGAAGAAGTGCCGGAGCCTTCTTATTTAGGGCTCCGGTGCACTCTGTCTATAATTATGAATTTATCTCAAAAACTAAGAGGTACCGGAGACAGCTACTTCTTAGTTTTTGAGCCAGGTGCAATTTAAGCTCTGTGTGTGACTCAGTAATGAACTGTAAAACATACTAGTTTTATCTGTGTTATGAATATCGTGTGGCTTGTATTCTTTTAGAATCCTAGGTAAAATCACTTTTATCTATTTCTCAGTCAAATGATAATCTGTCCCTTGCTTCTCACTGTGTAGTTTCCGATAAACAATGTTGTTTCTTTCTTTCTATCTTGTGAGCCAACCATCAGTTCGCAAAGAATTTTCTTCTAGCATTTTAGTGAATTCTATAGCATGCAGGATGGTCAAAAGAGCTCTAGATATTGGAGCATTGTTTAGTCTCAGAGCTTGAAACTATTCTAGGAAAGCAATTTGAACATCTCTCGATTTTCCATTCCTTTGCTTGAGAAATTCCATATTAAAGCTGCTTCTCTTTGGTTGCATTTACCAAACATATCATAATCTTTAAACACTTTATTTTTTTCTTCCAGTCTTAAATAGGCATTTTCGACATATTACAGGTCATGCAAGCAGCAATGCTTTCTTTTCTTTTTTCCTTCAACCTTCATCGATCGCCTCTCTTTTCTAATCAAAGACTGATAATGTATGATAATGCAAGGAAGCATCTCATGATGTTTCCTGAGACCATCCTACATACTTAAAGTGTGTATGCACGTTCATCACCTATCAGCTAAGTGTTTAAAAAAGGGAATCAATCGTCACTTAAGCACCACCTATTTTTTTAATCCTGGGAAACACTCATTCATTATAATGAAAGGACTTGTTTCCAGTGCTTCTAGAGGATTGCTTTTGTCAACCATAAGATAAAAGGTATTCTGTTGCTCTTATCTCTAGTCCAGACAAAAATAATTGCAAACATTGTGTTACTAGAACTAGGGAAGTGTATGGGTCTTATTACACTCCAGGCATCTTCGTTCTAATTACACTGGCCAGAATTTCTGTTAAACCTGTTTTACTGAAAGATAAATGAATGAACTACAGCTATCAGTCACAAAAAGTTCATTCCAGATATGAATAATAATCAGATAAGCCAGTTTGAGTTTTATAAGCAGTGAAGATGAGTTTAGTAAATGACAGATTTTCTATTGATTAGTATATATTTATTTTGGTTCTTGGAAATTTGAGTGCAATTAAGTGGCTGAATTTATTAATCAGTGAGTTAATTGCATGTATGTTATGTATCACATTTTAATATGACAAAAATTATTGCTTATTTTCTAATTGATTATGAATTAAAAACATTAACAATTTTAGGGGAAAATGAAATATTAAATCAGTGATATCAAAAACAGTCTGAAAATAAGATATGTTGCATATTAAAATTCTGGCAATTTGTTATTACTCACAACTAATCTTTGGATTTTGGCAACTGACTTAGGTGGTCATTTTAACAAGGAAATACCAGAAAATGAATATTATTAATAAAATTTGTATACATATAATTTGAATTATGATCATTTATTATATCTTGAATGCTTATTATAGGTATGTTAAACTTTTAACTTAACTCTGTAAGAGATTCTTGAAGAGTAAATAATTTTGGGCACTTCAGCTGCCATGTTCTCAACCCTTCTTAGTATGTAGATCCATTCTGATCGCCTGTTTATATCTTTTCCTTTTTAATAAATATCTTAACTTTAAGATGCTTTAAAACTCATATTCTAAATGCAATTTCATAGAAACTTTAGATGCAGAACTTTTTTAAATGTGTTGTTAAATTATTAAGAGTGGAAACTGGAGCACATTATGCTAACTTTGATAAGAAATAATTAAAAATTAAAAAAAGGTATTTTCATCCTAAAAAAGTATTACTTAAAATAATATATTGTTTTAGAAAGATAATAAATAAGTATCTCGGAGTTTAAACTAGGTAATTCTGATGTTTTATTGATGGAAACATAAAAAGTGCTTAATGCTGCAGATCTTTAATACTTGATACTATTTACAATTTTTCCTTTTTGTATATTCTTTAGAGTCTTTTGCTTTTTAAGGTTCTAATTAAAAATTTACAATTTTTGCTTATAAAGTATGTGCATATTTTAAAATTTTAGATGTTTACTGTTCATTAATAATTTCAGTTGTAAATAGTTTATAAACAGCACTTCATTGCTGTAAATGAAATACATGATTGTAATTATTTTAATTTGTGCATATGTATAGATTTTTGGGTTTTCTTCTAAAATTTTTTAATTTATCTATTAGTTTAATTTTTTTTACTTATCTATGGCATATTTATAATTTGCTATAAAAATAATGACTTTTTATTGATTATTTAGATCTTTTGTATTATGAAAAAGTGATACCTTTGTGTATGACTGTCTAGTATGAAGTGTATTTGTATGGTATAAATAAATTAAAAAAAGGGGGGGAAGGAGAAACTGTTGTTTACTGAATTTTTATATCCAAAGATTGAAAATATACATTTTAATTTCCAGAACATATCTAATGAATAAGAAAAGAATTTGCTGAGAAAGAGTTGAGATTGAGAGCTAATGGATTAGTGGATTATATTGCACACAACTTGGAGAAATTATTCATGCCATGAGAACTAATGAAAATTAATTAAATTTAAATTAAAAATATATATATAAGGGATTAAGAAAAGTGTGAATGATTTAATTAAACTGTTTGGAAGAAACAATCATTATAATTTGAAAATATTTGCCATTCAGTGCAAAGTACTTATTACATTTTCGAACTATTCTCTTCATTTGCATATGAATATTTTCCTATGAAATATTTTTATTTAGTTTGTTTGAAACCACATAAAATTTATGCATTTTTAAAGATGAAGAATATCTGTATGTTAATTTGAATTAACTTTTAGATATTTTATTTGAAACCTGACTAATCCATCCGAGTTAGCATATTTATCAAATTCCAGAATTTATATGCATAGGAATTAATCCATGTGTTCTATATCTTTTGTAAAATATGTTATCATATTTAGTAATTAATTAGATGGGAACTAATAATGTCTACTGTTACAAATATTTAACAAAAGTAAATCAAATTTGAAAGCATCGCAGTATGCAATGACACGTTGGATGCAAGTAAAAATTAATTTTAAGAGACTATTTATATACTTTTTATATTTTGCTATAATCAGATCAATACAATTATACTGAGGATTAATTAAAATTGATTTATGCCCTTTTTTAGAATATTTCTATTTTGCCAACCTTTATAGTTAATTGTTGTTTATGTCAGGTACATTATATGTTTTCCAGGTTTAAAGTTAAATCTTGATGCATGTTCATTTAATTAAAATTTGTGGAATAACACATGAATTACTTTTGTAAGAAATGTCAGTCTCATATAATAACCATATGTAAATTAGAAATTATCTAGTAACTCTTTTTTTTTCAAAAACTAATTATTTGTTTTATTTTTAAGGCTTTATGTTGTGTTGATAAGAAAGGTATTCTTTCTTGGCCCAATCCTACTGCAGAAAAAGTATTTTTTTTAAAGTCTCCTAAAAGCAAATCTAATTCTGAAAACAGTACTCAAATGTGTGAAGATCCTGATGTCAGCCAAGAGAGGAATGAAAGTCATTGCTCTAGTGAAGACATTTTAGAAGCAAACAAATTTGCAAAGTTAACTAAAAGATTAGATGTTAAAGATCATAGTAAGTTTTATTTAATATTTCAAATATTTTCACCTCTGTAGCATGCTCATAAAAAGAAAGTAGTGCAACTTTTGACTATTTTTTATTGCTTTAAAATTATTAGGGAAAATGTTGCAGAATTAAGTTGATAGTTTTAACTTGTATGTCATATTTCTTTTCCTTAAGTGGAAAACATCATTTGTGTAATATGCATCTTGTTCTTAATTCTTTATTTATGTCTAAGTGTCTAAATTTACTTTTTTTTTTTTTTTTTTTTTTTTTTTTTTTTTTTTTTTTTTTAGTATATCACCCTGGCAGCCAAGTTGAAGTGCTGGATCTTACTCACAATCTTCACAGTCCATTTGGCATCCAGTTTGATGATCCCAACTGGAAATTTTATATTGGAAATTTAAAGCCTCTTGTAAGTTCAATTTGTGATTACCTTGTTAAATTAAATATGACAAATACCTTGAAAATGTAATTTTACTTATTAAGTAGTTTCATTTTGTTGATGGATTATTTTTGGATAGCATAAAAGGAATACTTGGAAAAAAAAAATCTAGTTTTTGTAATATGTAAAATATGCATGTAAAATTTTTAGAAAGAGCTTATTTTATATAGGTTATTAAAAATATAAATACAAGTATGATTGATGTGGATTAGTTTCGGCTGTTTTTCGAAATAAATTGTAGCCTTGTGTTAATCTCTGAAATTTCAAATAAAAGGTATTTTAAATTAAAATTTGTATAACCACTGTGTAACTAATTTGCAGACCTATTCAAATATAGTAGTTATAGTCTAGGAAGCATATAGAAATAAATTTATGAGTGCCATTGATAATGCATACTGATGCTAGGGTAATTAAAATTAATTTGAAAATATTATAATAATTTAATTTAGTTAAAAGAAGTGTGTATTAAATTATTGCTGTCATTTACTATTCAACTTTTCTTCAACTTTCTGTAAACTTTCAGAATCAGGTTATGTAGCTTCAGCTGTAAAAAAGAAATGCATAATATCATTTTGTAGAGCAGTCATTTTCAAACTTTCTTTGTTGGTGATGCTATTAACTGAACATGTTTGATTTTGAAGTGAAGCAGTTTATATATTAGTGTGGTTGCATTCACATATTAATGTGAAATCTGTACATGGAATGTCCTCCAGAGTTTGTGAAAATATAATCTTATAAGGGATTTTATTTATTATTATTCCACTTGCTTCACCTCTCAATGGGCATTACAGGTCATCCTGATTATTGCACCAGTAATTCTGTTGGGTGCTCCAACGTACAATGTTTTGGGTATGTTAGTACAAAATTAGGAGAAAGGATTAATTATTTTAGAGGTATTTACACATATACATGAATGGAGGCTTGCTGCCTTTACATTTCATCAGTCTAGACCTGGTTATATGATTATGTTTCTCTTAAAATAGATGTATTTTATGATGGTTCTGAAGCCCCACTGTCTGTAGTAATTCTGAAGAAGGTCTTTGAGGCTATGTGATCCCTGGAGCTAAGGAAGGGAGGCTCTGATGGGAGAAGTCAGTGGACAGTCATGGATGTAATGTGAGATGTCGGTCTTATACGTGATATACTGCTGCAAGTTAGCTTCAAGGTGCATCAATTGGTTTTTGTGTTTTTGATTGTCTAAAATTCTAATTAGAATCACCTGGCAAATATCACAATTCATTTTTCTTATCAGGAAAACCTTGATTCCATTTTATAGGTTATTCTCACTAGATATACCAAAGTAAGAAATTATCCATTCTGTTCCTGAAGCATCGAGAGATATGTTGCTGCTGAAATGTCTAGTGTTTTTGAATTCCACGAATTTACTTGTTCAGGTATTCCCTTTGATTTTGATGTTACTAGTGGCTGAGTAGATAAAGCACTGAATTTTGATAGTTTGACGTAGCTTCAGATCTCAGCATACAGGCTGGCTAAGGCTGGCTACACAAGGTTTACTCATTTGTGATTGTAATACAAGCTAGTTTTGCAAAGAAAATCATCTGCAAAATGAAAATCCTATATCTCTCTATCTGTGTCAAAGCTTACGAAAATATCCTGAAGCAGATATTTTCGTAAGCTTTGACATAGCATTTATATGCTTCATCAATATTTAATTAGCCAATTTTTTAATTTTTGATAAGCTGATTTTGTATTATTCAATTTGTCATCACTTGGAAAAAGATAAATTAATTACTGAGGACTATTGCAGGTGTTGAATGTCTGGATTCAGTGTTAAACAGGAAGCAGGAAGAGTAAACCTAGCATTTTTTCAGCCTTTGATAATTTATCACAGCCTGCTATCAAAATAAAATGTATGAACGGGTCCATGATAAATGAATAATAGATTTTTATATGAACGTTTCTGAATGCTATGGAATGTAGTTTTAAAACCAAAAATTTGTCACAGGGTTTCAAAACATCAGTTGGAAAATATTGTAATTTCCTATTCTTAAATTTTAATATTTACAATTACAGCAGGCTATTGTTTTTATGAACATCTAATTTCGTACACACACTACCTCACAACTATAGCGGTAGTTTTGAAAAATTATAACATTTTTACTTAATTTCCTATTTACAAAGTTTTGAGGTGTAAAACATTCATAGAATTGAAAGTATATGTTTTCTATTTCTAACAAATATATTGTAAGTGTATATATATATATATATATATTTTCATTAATAGGGACTGGGAATTTTGCTGAACACTTGTAATCCAAAAGCCCAAGAGCATTATACAAAGTTTTCTGATCACATTGCTTGTGAATCTTTATATAATGATGCTGCTGTACCAGTTGTTAACAAAAGGTATTTTTAGCTGCTCATTTATGCAATTCTTGCATGAATAGTTAATACTTGTAATCTGATGCACAGAAAATACTTGCCATTTAAAATTTATTGATTTGATTATGATGCATGAAATTTTTATCTTTATTTGATAAATTTGACTAATTACTTAAAGTTATGCATTGTGACTAATTACTCAAAATTATGCATTGTGACTAATTATTCAAAATTATTTTTGTTATATTAATTTAATCATATTGTGCATTTTTAAAATGAACATAATTAAATAAAATTATTCTTCAATTTTAGACCATACCTTCACATTTAGCATTTTATAATTTATAACGTGTGATTTAAAAATAATTGATATTAAATTTTATTTATACACATTAAGTTAACATTTATGCTTTCTGAAAATAGTAGTTTTGTTATAAAAAGCATTGCCAATTTCAAACTGTATTTTCTTGGTATTTATATGAAATCTGGTGTTATAGGTGCCTTTGTGAATTAGCCAAACAGATTGGCTTCTCTGATTCCGTTGTTGATTTCTACAATCTTGAGCAACAACTAGGCATTTTTCGGCATGTGGTTAGTAGATATATTTGTGTTAATTTTAGAATATGTGCACTTAGTAATCTAATAAAGATATTAATTTTCCTTCTTTTAATTAAGCATCCAGAAGTTGTGCAGAAAGGAAAACTTGCAAGGTCTTTGAACTTTCCACGCCTTAAAATGCCTTTTCCAAATATGTCTTGTGCAATTGTGAAGGATCTCCATCGAGGTATTTTTTGTATTATGTTAATACAGTTTTTTATATTTTAAGTAAAGTGTACTCATCTGAACATTTTATATAATACATCTTTATGAAGGAAAATCCTTATTATTGCAAATACTTTTTCTAAAAGGGAGTTTATTGACAGTTTTTTAAAATAATGAATAATGTCTGTTTTTCCTTTAATGTATGTATGTACCACCTATATGTTTGAGTCCAGATGGATTTTTGCACATTATATTTAATCATCATTTTGCTGTTAATAAGTACTATTTAAGAATTATTTATTATCTTCCATTATTTCATTCTTCTGCTCTTGTGTAACTATTTTGCAAATGCTTGAGTACCAGTTTTTCAGGTTGTGGAGATTATTTGAAATTGTAACCATGAATGCTAAAAAATTGAGTCATTTATATAAATATTGATATTTAGGGATAATATTTTGTATTATCTCCCAGAATTTAAGCATGTGCTGTAAATTCTTAACTAGTGAGTGCAGTGGGAATTTTAAGTGAAACAAGTGCTGTCTTGGGTAAAAGTAGACAAGTATTAAGTAATGTGTTTAAAAGATATTTGTTTTCGTAGAAATACATAAAATACAGATAGAAAAAAGTGCCTAATTTGTGGCTAAGATTTTCAATGCTACAAAGACATTTTTATGAGGAATGATAAATTTGATTTTGGATTAGATTAGTTTTAATATGACTTGGAGATATCTTTGGGCATTTCTCAATGTTGGTTTGTTGTTAATGGAAGTTGTGGACTGTCCTTTAAAGAATTCATAAATTTCTTTTATGTCAACCATTAAACAATTCCAAACAAATGGAATAGTTGTCAGATCATTTTACAGGTCACTATTGGATTATAAACGCTCTAATGACTAGCACATTACAATAGTGGTCAAATCAAATACTTCCATCTCTGTCAACAGTGACTATCACAATAACAAAGTCAATATCTGCTAGTTCTATGAGGTGAAGTCTCAATGCAAAAGGGCACTTTTCCTGATGCACTTTTAAAATCTGAGAACAAGAGCACATGATTAAAATGGTATAGACAGTGCACAGTTTTAGAAGTGCAATACCCAGTGTACTTTTTATGGATGAACATCTCAATGTCATAAAATCAGATAATAAAAATAAAAGGTTCAGAGGGACAAAATAACATGAAACCAGCCTAGTAACATCACTGGACATTATTCTTAAATTGTGAAAATGTGACGAAAAAAAGCTGGATTTTCTTTAGGATATCATGCTTTCATCAACCAAAACGATTTGACTACCTTTACATTGTGAAAATATGCTCGCCAGAATGATATAAAGAAGCTGAATATGTTAATGAGTAAACTATGTACCAAGTAATGGGAAGGCTGCTGAGTTAAGTGACTTTGATAAGAGGCAGATTGTGATGGCCTAAATCAGTGCTCCGTAACCTTTTCTCACCTGCGACGCACAAAAAATCTTTCTGGAATTTCGTGGCACACCAAAGAGTTCCGAGTTATCAAGGAAGTGCCGAAAAAATTCAAATGCTGACACACTTACAATCACACACACAACAGTGAAATATATAAAAACATTTAAAATAGACATTATTAAGGGAAAAATTGTCAGTGTGTATTAAATACATGATAAAAAATTGCAAAATGTGAAATACATGTATTTGATTGTGGCACACCTATATCCTACTCATGGCACATCAGTGTGCCGCGGCACCGGTTGCGGAGCACTGGCCTAAATGATAGGAATGAGTATCTCTAAAACAATAAGGTTTATGGGTGTTTGTGAACTGTTGTTTTAGCACTTACAAAAAGTAGAAGAAAGTGAAACTAGTAGTAGACACCAGGGTGATGGATATAAATGCCTAATCAATAAATGTATGCATCAGACTGTGCTACTTCATGAAGGCAGACAGAGAGCTTCTCCTGTGGGTCTGTGGTAGACACCTGTGGGTCTACTGACAGCTGAATGCGATGCAGGTTCAATTACAAATGTGTCTAAGCATAGAGTTCTTTGGACTTTGTTGAATGTAGGGTTCTGCAGCAGGTATTCCTCTCAGCAGGTGTCTGTGTTAACTGTTATCAACATTTAAATCTACATTGGGCTTGTGAACATTGTGACTGAATCTTACAACAAAAGAAAAGAGCTGCCTGGTTCGTTTAATCACAATTTCTTCCACATGAAATTGATAGGCATGTCAGGGTGCACTGTCTTTTAGATGTGCAGTTGATTTATATATATTAACACATTAAAGGCGGGAGTTGTAGTACGACAATTTATCTCAACTGTAGCTTGAAGGTGGGAGTCGCAGTACTATGATTTATCTCGGCTGTAGATTAAAGGCGGGAGTCGTAGTACTATGATTTATCTCGACTGTAGCTAGGACGAAAAACAAGGCAAAGTGGTCGCCACGCTACCTAGCATACTTTCGTCAAGATTCCCCGCCTTTAATGTGTTAAATACACATACATTACACGCAAAGGGTGTTTACACATTTTTTGAATGATTTTGATCAAGAATCAAAAATAAATAAATGTTTTGGAATAAAAATTTGTGCCAGCAGCTAATTATTTAAAATGAGAAATATTGTCTTCTACTTTTAAATTTATTCTTCTTTCAAAACGTGGCATGTAAACAAGCTATGGATTGAAATATATGTTTTTGTGCTTTCTGAAGGGAAATATTCCTATTCCAAAATTCAAAAACACTCTAAAATGCCTGGTATTAAAATTTCTAAATGCAAAATAAGCAATTTTATTAATCAGAAAGGGAAAAACTGTTAGTCATTACTTCTACATGGAAAGAAGACTCCAAATGAATTCCGGAAAAAGAACATATTATTTCTATAATTTCTATAAGTTAAATCATTGGTGACAAGAGAAAATTTGTCAGCGCCAAAATCAATTGCAAAATTTTAAATATATCTGTAGCAAAAGTAAATAAAATAATAAACCAAGATTTACAAATTAAGAAAAAAGGTAAAGAACATAATGTTCATCACCTCTTGCCAAAGTATATGCCACAACTCAGAACAATTTGTAGAACACTGTAGGAAAACTATTTAGTAGTGAACCATGGATATATCTAAATGATTGTAACACAAAAAGGTATATTTATTATTGAAAACAAGGAGGAAAAAGTGTGCAAAACCTGTTCCATCAATGTAAAGGAAGTTTCTTCCCCAGGATTCTCATATGATGAGTGCTTAAAAATAAGAAGAATGGAAAAAAATGTTAAAATCAACTCATCATACTATCAAGAGGAAATATTATGCCTGATAGAAGAAATTCCATTTCTTTATTCCATTGACTTTCATAGAGTGAAACTTCATCAAGATAAAGCAAGTCATACTTCGAAAAGTACCACTTCATACCTGGAAAAAATGAAGACTGATACAGGTATTGCATATAAACTTTTTCAATGCATACCTGCAAAGCCCCCTGATGTTTCACATGTTGACTATTGTGCCTTTGGTCTCTTGAAAAGAGCTCTTTCTAAGTACAATCCCATCACAAGTAAAGGACCCTGGAAAATCGGGGAAGATGATGATGAACAGTGCAGGTTTTATAAGCTACACAAGCTATAAAAGGCCCAGTGGGCCCCCAAAAATTAAAATATAGTATAAATACAGTATTAAAATATAGCATAACAGACTTATAAAAGGCCCCCATATATCAAATAGCTTAGGGCTCTATCAATTGTAAATTCGGCTCTGATGATGAAAATAGTGGAAGTGATGAAGAAAATTAATACCCATGGAATTAAGGAAAGCCTTTCTGTCTTAGAAATCACAATGTAGACTTACAGTCCAGTAAAAAGGCTATCAGACTGAACATTTTAAAAAATACTCTTTGCATTTTAAACATTAATTTAATGGCCCTGAAATAATTCCCTCAAAATGTAAGCATCCTCTCTCTAAATACCAGGATGAAATAGTCCAGTAATGAAGGTATTATGTTCTGGGGAATGTGCTCACAGGTTTCCCTGTGATTGATAGTTGTGACAAAATATGCCATGACTGCTTTAGACTGTATGAACATCATAGTTGACCAGGTAAATTTTTCATGCTTTCTGTCTTCTGCAATTGAAATGTATTTTTCCAGAACTACTTTTCTAGTCACAAGGCCTGAATTATCTACCATAGTTAGTGAAACATGCTGTTGAAAAACAGACGATAATGATTTATTATGTATGTTAATGCTTTTACTTAGTTATTTATATCTTAAAAGATGCCACTAGAATGCTGTTTTAAATATGAAAATAAATACATCTAATTAAGAATATGTAAATCTAAATGATTCCGTTAATGAATTATTAAAATCTTAACTCCATCAAATTAAGTTCTTTTCAGTTTTAAAAATAAAAGAAGTAGTGGCCCTTAAAAGAATCATTCAACTCTTAAAAGCCTACATTGTTGCATTAAATGTTGTGCATTATGACCAAAAAATAGTGATCACTTTTATGAATGGATCTCTATCATGTTTTTATGAAATAATGTGGAAGCATTTAGAGCATAGTACTCCACAAGTTTTAGAGAATCTTTAGCTTCAATATATGCATAATTCAATAATAATATCTTCTTAAAGTAAAAAATTCAGTAACTTTCATATTTGAATTTGTAATAAAATGGCAGAGAAAAGAAATGATTAAAAAAGAACTAAATTTAGAGCTAAGATTGTTACTGTCTAAAAAATAAATAACTACAACTAAATATGGTAGATTGCACACTACATCATTACCTTACAGTTAAACTCCCGACCTCCTAACTCACCAGATAATTATCAAGCATATCTGGAATGTCATGGAGCATGAGCTCAGAGCTTAGCAATCACTTTTTTATAATCTGTGAGAATTGTTTGATCTCTGCATGCAAATCTGATATGGTCATCCTCTAGACACTCAAAATTTATAAATTTCATGTCATGATGGGTTGAAGCAGTTTTGCTCGTTAAAGATATTGAGAACATCGAAGTGGTGTTAAGAACGTGACCATATTGTTTTGGCTGATAAGAGTATAGACTTTCGCATGTTTACAGAGAACAATGTGATTGTGGAAAGGTACTGGTATCAAGGCATTTAATCTTCCATGAGAATTATGGTGCATTGGGTCTGGATTTTTATAAGATGGATGATAACATTCATTCATTTAGAGCAGGTATACTAATAAAGTTATTGCTTATATGAACACCAGTACATTTTTCAGATTTCAATTTCATTAAAAGTCTGTTAGATGCTCTTGGAACAAGCTGACTCTGCCCATTAACTTCCTCAAACTATTCTCCAAAATGCAGCAAAGTACCCTTTTACAAGAATAGCAGTTATTAACCTCTGCTGGGCCATACTGAAGGGATCAAATCTCAGTGCAAAGCTTATGCCAAACATAGAAGATGCCACATCCCATATTAAGCTTATTTATTTCATGCAAACAACTTTTTTATGAATATATTAAGAGGTTAAGAAGCAAATTTAAGCATTTTCTGAAAAATTGTTAGCATAATATTTTAATAATTGACATAATATTGTAATAAATTCCTTAATTAACTACTTCTAGAAGGGAATGTTGCTTGAATGATAAAAAATACTGGTCTCCTGTTTTGTTTACATGATAAGTGATGGAACAAAATGAAAATCTGATATATATCCAATTAATGTTATTAACTGTTTTATTAGGAATAAAACAGTTTATCAATAACAAAAAAATTACAAGATCATACTACTATTTTATTAACTTTGTAATTTTTCAGTTATTTCTGAAGTTGCTTTTATCCGAATTATGTGCATTTGTTATATTTCATGGTTACATAAAATTTGCCAAAGCTAATTAAATTGTGTATTCCATTAGGCTCCTTAAGCGTTATGTTTTCTCAATAATTATAATTTAATTATAGGTAGTTACCAGTTGTTTTCTCAAGGTACAGCTGATTTAGTTTTGGATGCTTGCAATGAATACTGGGATGGAGATGACATTCGTATTCTTACTGATTCTGACAGGTGAGACCTTGTAGGAATGCATGTGCCTTAAATATATAAGATGTTTAAAAGGGCTGTGCAATAAATTAAGGTATTTATAAGAAGTATGATTGTTTTTATCTTTTTATTGGTCATTTTGATAAAACATGTATTCCTTCCTCTGCAGCAATAACAATCAATGCTGCTGGGGGAAAAAAAGAGAGGGAGACTGTTACTGTAATATGTAGAACAGGGTTGAGTTTTGTTTCTTTCAGAACAAAGAAACTAGGGGAGAAACTCAAAGAGATGGAAAAAATAGAGAAATGAAAAATGATGTGCCATCGGGGGAAAGTATAATATTAGAAAGACATAATAATAGCAGTTTAACTTGTTTATAAATGTATGTTTTACTGCTTCTTTGATAAAATGCTAAAGTAATTAAATAATTTCTTCCTCCAAAATCCAATGAAAAGTATGGTAGAATTGTTATTTATTTGTATAATATTTAATTGAGGTTTCCCACCAAATGTATTGGCCTGCTAAGAAAATAATATTACACTTTTAAGATTTTATCATTGAATTAATTATTGCTAAATTTATATTTTGAAATAGTGATTTTTAGGAATATTCCAACATTTAAAAAAAATTAAATACATACATATTAACCAAAAGTTATTTGAGAATATAAATAAAAATAAATATGTATATCATGAAAATATTTAAATTGATTTATAGGAGTGTTACATATGAATAAAATTTAAATATAATATTAATATGAAATGAGTAAAAAATCGATCTATTTTATCCAATTTTCTCCACCACATGAGAAACTTGGCAATTCTACTGAGACTGTACCATTTTCAAAATTATACTTAAATCTTGTATGATAGAGCAGAATATAGCATTTCTGGAATTTTGCAGGTATTATGTATTGTTGAGATTAAAGTTTAGCAGGATTAGAACAGATTGTCATTTGAATTTATCCATTCAAATTTACCAAAAATGGAATAATAAAGAATGTTCTATTTTGTCACATTGTTTTTACAATTTAATTTCTTATGTTTATTCAGTTTTATTTTCTGTTCTATTTAAATATTTATTTATAGTATAGCTATGACTGAAAACCTGTTTCAAAATATATCTCAACTGACAGATATGAAAACAGATCTCATAGCAAGTACACAAGAATGCATGCTTATATGTATATGTATTACCAAAAATTTTTTAGTCTAAGCATACAAATAAGGCTAATAATATGTTATGTACAAAATGAAAATATTAAAATTACAATATAATAGTATTACATATGTGTAGTACTCAATGTGTAGCCTAACAATGGTGCAGCAACAATGATTGGACACTGGACGGGATTTCTTTGCAGAAGGCTTCGAAAAACTTGTACTACGCCTCGACAAATGCTTAAATAACAGAGGTAATTACGTTGAAAAGTAGATTTTAAATGGAACTTTAAGATATAAATATTGTAAAATTTTGCTCCTATTTTGTTTTCTTATGCAGTGCAACTAACTTTTTGACTGACCCTCATATTTGAGAGTTCCCATGTCGAAGCTTTGGTCTGTATCATTTAACTCACATTATGAAAACAGACTGGAAATGTGCCATGACCTGTAATATAGCATGTTAGCTGAGCAGTGGATGTGTCTTTTGCTGTTGACAATAGGAGAAAAAAGATAAGTGCAACAGCCTTGTGGTGAATTGTTCTATTCATCCTAACATTTAGCTTTAACCAAGATATTGATCTGTTGAAGGTTTGTTTGACATATAACTTATTTGAGATAGAAGTGCAATAAAGGCAGATGTGAATTTGCTCCAATGTTGCAAGCTGCCTACTTTGCCAGTGCATTTTCTCTCTCATTTTCTTAATTTCCAGCATGTGTCCCCCCCTCCAAAGGAGATAAAATTTAGTGCGTTTTGAAGCATAGCAAATCCCTTTGAATATTACCAATGATATGAGAACTGTGAATTGGATTTAGGGTGGCATGTAGTATTGACAGATTTTAGCTGCAATGCCTATTGGTTGCTGAACAGATTATTGCCACTGCTACTGCCTGTGCTTCTGCCTTGAAGATGCTATTGCTGAATGGTAGTTGAGCTTTTCATATATGACATTCTTGTTGATTTGTGTACTAAACTAAGGTGCTACCAATTCTCTTATCTTGCAGACATCTGTGCCTGTGAATGCCATTGTCTGTCTTATTCATATGTGTAGTACTGATGCTTCAAACTGAGCATGATAGATTATTGTTGCACATGTGTCACTGCAAACTCCTCTGACGAATGAATATGCAGCTTGCTAAAAATCTACACCTACATCTCCCTAAAGTATGCCCTAAAAGTTTCTATGCTAAAAATCTATGCCTATCACAGGTTGTTGCTTCATGTTTATGATTTATTTGAGGTGAGTTTCTATTCTGTCTTGGTGCAGCTTGTTGTTTGTTGTTTCATATGCATATAAATGGAATCATGAATTCTGGAACTCTATTTGAATCCATAATTGGACAGCAAAGTGTAATGTAACTGTTAATTCTGCCTGTATATGCAGCTGCATAGTTCTGTTAGGGTATTTATTGGCCACTGTAGAAGTTGTACAGTAGGCATGTGTAATACTGATAGCAAATAGTCTTTGGATATTTAGTAGATGCTTTGATTTTATACCTTGAACTGGTGTTAACTAGACTGCTATTATAAAAGTGAAGCAAAAACCTGTGTTAGGCATTGATTTTTATCTAAGAAACTCTATTGATTTCAAGGGCAAACAAAGTCCCTCTTCATCAGGAGCAAAGAATCCATAATTCTTAGCATGTAATTTTTGATATTTATAACATATGATATCCAGGCCCAGGTCACATGATGTGGATCATGTCATGTAAGACTTGCAGCCCATGTCTTGTGAGAATCTTAAAGAATTCCTATAGAATCTTTTCATTCTTTACTTTACTCACAATATATTTCTACAGTTTAAATTTCTTGGTAATGTGAATAATACATTTTACACCATTACAAAACTATGCCAAGTGCTATTAATTTAAAAACTAAAAAACTCATGTTACCATTCCATATTAAAGGGGAAAAATTAATTATATGGAATTACAGTGAACGAATATGCATATCTAATATGTCAGTTTGAGGTACTTGAGTGTCATGATGATTTTAATTCTGTGCAACTTTATTCCTAATCTAGGTTTCATTGTCAGTTCATTCTTTTTTAGGGATTATAGATACACAATGATTTAGTTTCAGAAATGTAAATCTTAATTTAACTGCAGTAAACATAGATGAATTCACTCATTTCGTTTCTATGTCACTTTACTTCATTGTTTGTCCTTCCTCTAATTATGAGCATTATACCATTGATGTAAGCGTAACTGAGGTGTGATAAAAATTGATGATGTCATAAAAATTTACGGTCCACAAAACAGATTCAGCAAGTGAAACTTATTCAAAACCTCTATACTGCATTTTGCTGATGGTACTGATATTATGTATCATTAGGTGCCATCAGGTAATTTTGTACAATAAAATAGATGTTGGTGGGGTATTTTGCATCTCATTGAGCATGCAGAATGATAAACTACCAGAGGGTATGAAATTCACTCTGTAGATTGAGGCTTAGAAGTACTATGTGGTATCCACCTAACTGGTTGGTCAAAATACAGTCTTTTAGATCTAGCATCTTTTAGGTCTAGGCATGGCTTGTTGATTTTTTGGTTTGAAGTTACACTGTTGCTTAAATATTGAGATTTAATATAGATAGTGAGATAATTTATTTCTTATTTATTTTTCATCAAATTTTTCCGCCACAGATTAGATGTTAGGAGGTAGGATATTTTGGACTTCATTGTGTTTGAGAAATGGATAAACTTGGCCCATTTTTTAAAGATATTGGAGATGATTTTATATTGCTGTAGCTTGATGAAGAATTTCTAGAAGTATTGTGATCTGCTACAACAGATTATTTTGATTACTGCATAGTCAATTCCATCTGGGCTTGGAACTTTTTTTTTTGGCAGTTGTTGGAAGACATGATGTATTTCTGCTGCTTTGCCACTATCTTATGCAATATACCATATGCTTTTACAATCTGGATATAAAATAACATATCCAAGTTTGTTGCTTAGCTATTAAGAACATACCCATACATACATAAAAAAGCATTTCTTTCCTAGTTTCTGCAGAAGGGGTTGATGTAAAGCATTGCAAGCTGCACTTTTTAGTCTAGGTCTTATAGCTTAGCATTCTTGTTCTTGCATTTGGAGATCTTTGTTCTACCAGACTATGGTAGCAAGCTTGTTTTCCATGTGTTTCATTACTTCCCAGCTTGTATTGATGTTACTGGCTAGCAAGGTAGTCAGTGTCAGATCTAGCCAATTCTTACCGTTAACGGTTTCAATATTGGAGGTGCATCTGTCGTGTTACATATGACCAAACCATTGACATAAATGGCATTTTCAAGTTATTGTTTTTTGGGCATAGCTCCATGTGGTACTGGTGCATTATAGTCTGTTGAAAATAGCTTGAGTCGTTGGTATCCAACTTTGCATATCATTTATTTGCACAAAGGTTTGCTCTGTGTCCTCAGTGGAAGAGGAGTATATGGAGATAATGACCACTGTAAATTTTATAATTTCAGTAATTTGCAATGCAATTGCTCGTGATCTTGATAATGACAGAAAACGGTTGCTTCTCTTTGTGCTTTTGATAAATCAGTTGCCTATTGAAAGGTGGTTCATTAAATTGGTAAGCCTGATTATTTTGCTCATTGCTCATTTTTTATGTAGTCCTGCTTCAAGAAAAACCTGATGACTCTACAAGATGACAGAATTTCTTACCATTATTATGTCATCAGATGAAAGGTGCTCATTACAAAGATCAAAGTAATCCTGGAAATTCTGGCATCTTATGGGCTAGATCTGTATACTATTATATACGAGTAGTTTCTCTTATATACGGTTGGACGATACTTCTTCCTGTCAATATGTAATTCATATACATCACCCATATTCTATCACTCTGTAGAGTCGTTAGTTTATTTCAATATCAGGAGACTGAAGAAATGGGAACGCCCTCACTGGGATTTGAATCTGGACCTCTTGAATACGCGCTGCGTGTGCTACCATTGCATTACAAAGGCATGCAGAAGGGAGGGCGAAAATACCTTACATACTTCCCCTTTTAAAAGGAAAATGGGGATTAGGGAGTCTAGTCATCGAATCCTGGTGGTGAAGAATAATCATCTGCCACCTTTTAGTTTTTGCACCATTGTAGAGACATTAGGATATTTTGAAGCAGGAGTACATGAACAATGAACAATGCCTTCGCCGGGACTTGAACCTGGATGCGCTGAGAATGCTACCATTGCACTATGAAGTCACAACAGAAAGGATGGAGAAAATACTTTATAACTCTTTTGTGCTCTTTGTAAAACTATGCATTGTTTTATCAACTTATTTGTAGATATATGTAACTCATAATCTTGTACCAAAATGCAGGTACCATTATTATTTTATGTAAATAATCATAATGAAAGCTAATTGTATATGCCTATATGATGTAGCATTTGTTTCTAAATAAAAGAGCTTGTGGCTACTACTTTTGAGAAGGTACAATGGGAAGTGATATCTTGTGCAGCAGGAAGCATGGGGCTATATCTACTTAACCATCAAAGGTGATGACAAACGGCTGGTTTCCTAGTAACTGGTTTAAACAACTTCTGCCACCTGTTATCTGTAATTAGCTATTCAGTCAGATAAAATTATTTGAATTTATTGCTGAACTCTGTTCCGATATAAAAATATGAGTTAAATATAAAAATATCATGTATTGTTTGTAATGACAATGGTAATGCCAATAAAATAAATTCATTTTGTTATACTTAAAAAAAATCAAAGCAGGCAATGTATTTTGTATTTAAAGCTTATTCTACCAAAAATTCCTTTTTTTACCGTAATAAAGTGGCAATCCACAACACACGCCTAAGATCTGATACTCAATACTGAAAGAGTTAAATTCCCTGTGCATTGAATGTAAAAGTTAATCAATGAGATTTTGAATACATTTAAACAATTATGTTAATGTACAGGAATCAAGTATCCTTGATATTAATGTGAACAGTTTTTTTCTTTGTAATTCTAGGAAAAGAATATTAGACTTTTATCATCGTTCTAGCCTGACTGCACATTGTATGGGATATGCTTATAGCCCATTGAATAATGCTTTAAATAAAAATTATTCTGATGTATACATTGAGCTGCCTGCAGAGGGCTACCACTTATTTTCTGCTCTAAAAGCTGCAACATCTTCACCACGGTAATTAATTCTGTTTCATTAATTGTCTTACTAACTTAACATTTAATTTTATTAAGTAAATTAGCCACATTTACTGTAATATTTGAAAATTTTGTTTTTTAATACAGTACAGTTCCGATTATCCGCAGAATTGGGTGGCGTAGCTGCCACGTTTTATGTATAATAAAACGTAAAATAAACAGCAGGAAATGTTTAACTAATGCTTAATATTTTAGTATATCACTCAAAACTAACCTAAAATGCATTTTTGTTAATGAAAACAGAAAAGTGCTTTGTATACTTAGGAGAGGCGTCAAGGATACACTGAAAAATTAATACGTATGTATTGTTTTAATTACAAAAGCATAACTGTAAAACTACACCTTTTTGAAGAAATTAGTCATTTGTGTTTGCTTCTTGCTTTGGAAGCATTTTCTCTTGATCCGAGATTGCATTTTTCATAGCATAATTTTTCTCGGAAAACTCCGCGTCGTCTTGTTCTTCCAAATAGATCAGCAGTCCGTCGACTTGTTACAAAGCCCCTTCATGAGTCCTCCGCATCTGCACAGTGGGCTCTTCTTTGCCTTCACTTCGCTGTCCTTCATTCTCAGTCTCTCCCCTTGCTTTCTTCACAATTTCGTCATCTGTCAAGCGTTTGAAGCCAGGTTCGTTGACGTCACACTCCAACAACTTGTTAATGTTTACAGCATCAACGATCTCACCACCCGGAACTGTTTTCACCATATCGACAAGAGCTGCTGTGGGCGTGTCTACATCTTCATTCTCTTCTTCACAACTCAAAGGGGTTAGGTTGTTGTTGGCTTCAACATTAGGCATGAGTTTTCTCCATGATTTTATGAGGGTTGATGGTTTCACTGAACTCCATGCAATATCGTAGATGCTGCCAAGATTGTGCAGTGTTTCCAAAACTCTTTCAGATCATAATCTTCTTCATTTTTGGTCATTAGCAGCTTTGTTCGGTATGTTCTCTTCATTGTTGCAATGACTCCTTGGTCCATGCATTGGATTAGAGCAGTAACGCTTGGAGGGAGAAACTTTGCAAAAATTTGTCCATCAGAAAGCTTTAACACGCTTGTTGCTGGGTGAGAAGATGCATTTTCGATCAATAGCACAGCTTTTTCAAGCAGGTTTTTCGATTAAAGATGTGTACGCACTTGAAGAACAAAGATTTTTTCGAACCATTCTTGAAAAATGTTTCAGTTCATCCATCCTTTTTTTTGGTTAAAGTTGTAGAGACATTAGGATATTTTTTGGAGGCCAGAGAGATGAAAAATTTACAACGCCTTCACTGGGAATCGAACCATGGACCTCTGGAATACCGGCCCAGCGTGCAGAACCACTACACCACAAAGGATGCTTGGAAAGTGGGAGAAATACCTTATATACTCCCCTTTTTAAAGGGCGACTAGGATTTTAGGGGACCTAGTCGCCAAATTCTGGGTGCAGAGAATCATCATCCACAACCCTTTTAGTTCGGGCACCACTTGAAATGTCATTAGGTTAATTGGAAGCAGAAAAGATGAAAAATATGCAACTGCCTTCCCCGAGAATCGAACCGCGGACCTCTGGAATACCGGCTCAGGATGCAGAACCACTATGCCACGAAGAATGTTTGGAAAGTGGGAGAAAAACCTTATAAAGTAATCAGCGGGTAAATTTTCTGTCCTTGTGCCTTTAAAAGATCTCGTTTTTTTTTTTTTTTTTTTTTTTTTTTTTTTTTTTTTTTTTTTTTTTTTTTTTTACTTTCCAATGGCAACAAGTCTAAGTTTATGTCCACTGGTAGCGTTACTGCAAGACATGATAGTGATCTTTTCCTTGCTGCTTGTATGACCCGTCGCTTTACTTTCACTTTCAAATGCTAAAGTGCGAATGGGAAGACATTTCCACAAAAGTCCCGATTCGTCGGCATTGTAAATTTGTTCAAAAGATAGCTCTTCTTTTTTAAAACAAATTCTTCAAATTCATGGTGGAAATTGTTAGCTGCTTCTTGGTCACCACTAAGTTTCTCCCCATGAAGTCCAATTTCTCGAATTCCACGTTGCTGCTTAAAATGAGTCAACCAGCCTGAAGACGCATCAAAATTTCCTTTCAGGCATAGCAACTCAAAAAAGGTTTTTGCCTTCGCCGCAATGTGATAGGAGCATTTACAGGAGTACTCTCTTTTCGAACCCTAGCTAACCACTCTGTCAATGCCGTGTCTAGCTCATCAAAGGTAGAACCCTTCATAGTTTTTCGCGTTTTCATTGCGGAAGCACTGTCAGACATTGATGCAAAGTTCACCAGTTTGTCTTTTTGCTTTAGAATGTCACGTACTGTTGTTTCCGCGATTCCGTAATCCAATTCCATCTGCTTCCTTGTAGCGCCGTTTGCTACTTTGGAAATTAATTCTAGTTTTTGCGCAATCGTCAACACAACCTTCTTTCGTTTTCCTGACATTTTAAATCGGTAATGAAAAACACAAAACCAAAAAGCACAAGCACTGAATACAATAAAAGATAAGAAATGAACTCCGACCAGTTCGCAAATGCTATCAGGCTTAAACTAACAATTGCGAGTGGGAGGAAGTGGACATGTCAGTAAGATGAGAGAGGGCGGTGGAGCGGGCACTGCAAGGGTGAGTAAGAAATCACTTACTCATCAGAGGGGAAGGTTCCGAGAAGGCCTGGGATATTTTTGCTATAAATAAGCACGATGTTAGCAAATTGAACGTTTCGCTCAGTTTTGTGAAAATTTTTATTTTGTTTGCTTTACACTTGTAAAAAAAAAAAAAAAAAAAAAAAAAAAACAGAGAGAGAGAGAGAAACTTTGTGCGGCAGGCACGGATAATCCGCTCCACGAATAATCCGCCTGCGGATAATCGGGAGTTTACTGTATATATATATTTGCTTTAATACATTGGTTGTGCATTATGTTCACAAAGATCCTTACACAGTTTTTATTTCCACTATCGTTTGTACATGTTTGCTTTCAATTACAAAGTGTTTTAAGCAATGTAAATACAGTAGATTCCCTTTTAACCAACAGCAGTGGGACTATGTTGATTCTGGAGTAGAAATTTTTTTGAGTAATTGAATACAGATTTATGTTATCTGTGATTTTAATGTTTCTAAAACTTAACATGCTCGTGTTTTGTGATGCCATTTGTAGCAGTTGCAGCATGCAAAGTTAATCAATAGTGTTTTTGATCTGCTGCCCACAGTTAAATAAATAATATCAAAAATTGCTTGGATTATTTCAAACTGAGATATAGAACATGATTGTATATTTCACAAAAGCAAAATTATACAACATTTTAAAATTACTATATTTATTATCACATGAAAATTATGAATTTTTTAGTGTGATGGCATATAACTTTGAATGTTTGCCAGCTCATGAGATTGTCATCATAGTTTTAAAAATTTAATATGTATGCTATGAAGCTTACCTTGTACAGTATTTTATATAATTAATCTTGCACCAAATTTTAAGTATCAGCATAGTTATATATAAATAATCAAAGTTAACTGTGTACACCTATGTAACCTAGCATTTGTTTCTAAATAAAAGTGCTTGTGGTTACTAATTTTGGAGAAGGTACAGTGGGATGTGAAATCTAGTATAGTAGGAAGTGTGGAAGTAGTGTACAGTAGGAAGCTGCTCAACTATCGAAGATGACAGCAAATGACTGATGTCCCAGTCTTCTGTCATTTATTACCTATAATGAAGCCAGTTATAATTATTTGAATTTATTGGTGAACTCTGTTCTGATATCAGACATAGATGAACATTTCTCAGGAAATTTTAAAGTCTGCAGTTCTTCATTAGCTTCCATCTATCTAACTTTTGTGCTCTGCATCTCATCTTCATTATTATCCTTCTTCACTTCGTCTTTCTCTTTTCTCAGTTCATGTCTGATTATTTTATCTTGTGTGAGTGCAGTGAGAACAGAAATGTCTATATCCATCCAAACTTGCACCTCCTCTTCACTAACATTAATCTTCTCCAAACATGTAAGTAAATCCAAGATGTCTGATATGGGTGCCAGATATGTTTTAAAGCCAAGAGAATCTTTGTCACTCAACTCAGCAGGTGGTGTAGTAGCAGGTCAGTAGGTGGCAGTTTACAGCAACTGTGCCATACATAAATATTCTTATTTTCTTTCTAGAAAAGAGACAAAGTAAGTCTAGTATCCTTCAGTGTGAATTGTTTCTCAAAATTATGCATACTACTATAAAAATTCACACATGGATGCATTATAGAAAATCAGTATTAATATAAAATTCAAACAACCAAAATCAGCGTTATACAGTCAAAAGTCTTTAATCTGGACTTGTCGGGACTTCGGCGATTCCGGATTATCGGGTTTTCCGGATCATCAATTTAAATCTGGTATGATGGCATGCAGAAATTATAAAATTAAAAATATGAAACCGTAATTTATGAAATAAGAGCAATTATGATTTAAAGGGTATCAAAATTTACAAAAAAAAAAAAGCTTAATATTTTATTTGTTTACTTTATTAAACATTTCTTTCAACGCTCGCATGCATAAAGCACACATTACAGTCGAAATTAGGAAATTGCAACCGGAAAACTATTTGATGTGTATTCGTGATATTTATAATGGCGAGGAATTTGATTTACATCATATAAAAGGCGGAGTACATCGAGATGAAATACTACATTAAATAAGGAATTATAAGCCGAATAAAATAAAAACATCTGCCCTGAAGATAAGGATAGTGCTGACAGATCAACTTCCAGTTCATTGTGCGCCGCAACGTCCCCCCCCCTGCAGAGCAGCGTGAAATTGATAAACAGATTTTGGAATGGTTAGAGAAACGAATCACCTCTCTGTCACTTTCTTCATGCCTTTATCCATTTTTTGCAGCAATTCCATTTTTTGTTTGATGGACATCGAAACATGCTTTTGCTTTGCAGATCCATTGGCAACTCCAGAATCGGAAATTCTTTTTGACATAATTGAAAGTCCAAGCTTATTTTTATAAAATTGCTCT